GACCAGCAGATGTCTTTGCTTATCAAGGTCTTTCCTTCTCAAGGTCTTTGCTGCTGGGGGATCCTCGTCCTGTGTCATCACTTCCTCCCCTCCGACGAGTCATTGCTGCTTGTGTCAAAACAGCATCATGTCCTCCGTGTTTGGACAACACCCTCCTGTGCCTCCCTCATCCACTCCAGCGCCGGCCCCATTTCTCTGCTTCCCTTCGTACTGAACCTTCCTCAAAAGTCGCCTGTGGCTGACTTCTGCTCGCCCCAGCCAGTGTGGGGGACAGAGCTGGACCTCTGCAGGACCCAAGCCCCTGCCAGGACTTTCCGGTAGAGTTTGCGGTCGTCAGTTGCTGGTGCAGATGGGGAAATGCAGAAGGGAGAAACAGCTCTCCCTGTCCTGTAACATCGCCGTGTCCTTGACCTTTGGTCAACCACAAATTGGTCTCTGGGAGTCATTAGCTGCGTTTGCTGTTCGACCCGTTACAGACCAGTTTCTACTCAACCTTCCACTGAGACTGCTCCCATCACTGCCCCGAGGACCTGGCTGCCAGGACTCTTGGCCACAGCTCTGTCCTGAGCTTACTCAACCTTCCAGCAGTGTGTGTGCGTGCGTGTGTGTGTGTGTCTGACAATACTTGGATGAGTTTTTTATCTTTGCACAAGACAAAATATTCAAGTTTCAAAATAGTCCAGTGGCCCTTTGACCCTCAACCTCCTTCCCTGCCTTCCTCTCTCCAGGATGCACCTACCTGGTAGAGGAGGGTGGTGTGGGAAGTTGACCAGCCCCTCCCCCACGTCTCTTTACACCCTATGTGAGGTGGATTAGAAACTGGTGAATGGTGACTTGGGCTGAGGACTGCTCTCTCTGCGGCGGGAGAGAGCAGTCACGGATGAGTGCACAGAGGGCCTTCCCGGTGGCGCAGCGGGTTAAAACACAGCACTGGAGGTTGTCCGCAGCTAGAGTTCGGTCCCCAGCCAGGGAGCTGACCCGCATGGTCCACAGACCTCTCCTGTCTCACCCGCTGCTCCCCTCAGCAGTGTACTTCATTGATCTGCTTGTTCCACTCCCCCCCCTGTCTCTGGTGAATCGTTCCTCTCCGAGTGTGGCTGTCCTCCCAGCCACGAGTGTCTCCCTTCTTCCATAACACCTGTTGCCCACAAAACCAGGCTCGCTTTCAGAATGTCACTTCACTAGCAACGTGGCCTTCATTCCCAGACCTGGGGGCCACAGAGTGGGAGCCAGTGCCCAGCTTTAGAAGACCCTGGTCTAACCAGTATGAGTCAGCCCGGAAATGTAAGGTGGACAGGCTGCGGAAGGACACAGAAGTCAGGGCCGCCAGCAGACCACCTTCCCTAGTCTCGTAGTCACCTGGCTGTCCTCCTGCCCCAGGGCCGCTCCTGCTCCGTCCCTAGGCCACCGCCTCCTCTCGAACGTCTAACATGGCGTCTGTGGGCCCAGTCCTCCTCTGGCTTCTCTAGCCTGACCTGGACACTCCCTGGGTGAAAGCCGGCTGGCTCAGCCTCGCTGCTAGTGGGAGCAGGAAGAGGGACGTGCAGGCATCTCTGCCCCAGCTGCCAGACACCCAGAAGTCTTCCTCCTTTCTCCTCTGTCTCATGGCTGGACCCCCGAGGTCCTGCAAGCCTTCCAAGGATGGGCCTGGAGTGGGTCCTTCTCTGGATGTTCACAGCCGCCAGGCTTGCTCAGCCTCAGCAGCGCTGGTGTGGGTTACCTGGCTGCCTCCTGCCTGCCTCTGGCTGCACAGTCACTCTGCAGCCCTCTGTGCTCTGCTGAGCTGTTGGGACTCAAGCCTGCACTGAAACCTCCCAGTGTGAGGAGACCGTTCAGCTCCTGACAGCAGCCTGCACCTTCTGCCTCCCTCCGCCCTGGGGTTCAGCTGCTCCAGCTCTCTTCTGTTTCTCCAACAGACTAGCTCATGCCAGGCGCTGGGAGGGGAAGGGGGCGGCCCACTTGTGCTAACCTGGCTAACCCAGACCTAGAATGGCTGCCTTCTTCTCCTCCTTGCCTCAGGCCAGCTCCTCCCTGACACCTCCTTGGCCACCGGCCGTGTTATCCCGGATCTACGGCATAGGTCTTCCTAGCACTCCCCCTTGGGGAGGGAGTGATTGATGTCTGTTTAATCACTAGTCTGCCTCACTGTTAGGTGGCCAGCTTCACCACAGCAGCACCTGCGGCTGTTTGGCTCAACCCTGCACATGTCTCACCTACCTAGCACACACCTGGCACATAGTAAATGCTCAGCAAGGGCTGGAGGAGAAAACCAGGAGAGCACGGGTTAGCCATTGCCACGTGGCCGCTGCTCTTATCTCCCCAGTGCTGCCGCCATGGCAACACAACATTCTGCTGTCACCTAGCCCTGCAGGCAGTGACTTATACCACAGCCCTGCAGGCCTCAGGAAGTCCCACGTGTCAGGACACAGCCCAGGACACCAAATCGCTGGGCTTGGCTGGACTTCTGGCTCCGTCCAGGGCCACTGCTCCAAGTCCTGGACATGTCCTGCTGACCACAGGGGGCCTCCAGGCGTCAAGCAGTGGTCAACACAATGGGCCCTTGTCTTCCTGGGAGGCCCTGACAGCCTCCAGAGGAGAAAGGCCCATTCTGAGTACCCGGAGCAGCTCTGGGGTTGGGGGGGTTGAGGGAGTGTCTGAGCCCCAGGGGAAAGGAGAGGAGGGGGGCCTCTGCTCAGGGTGTGACCTGGGCACCTCACTGCCCCTTTCTGGTTTCACCTACTCTCGGAGAGAGGCACATGTGAAGGTGGGGGACCCTGGGCCCAGAGGGCCCAGAGAGGGGCAGTGGCTGCTCAGGACCACAGGGAGGAAGAACAGAGCCACTGCTGAGTGCCAGCCACCTGCCCCTCACCTGTCGTCCCACCCCAGGTGCTTGGACCAGAGTAAGACAGAGCGTGAGTTGCCAGGGAGGAGGGGGGCATGGAAAAGGAAAGTGAGGCGTCAGGCTCCCCGCCCAGCCCCTCCCTTTTCCTCTTTTCGCTGGCCAGTGAAGCGAGTGAGTCACAGGTGGGCTAAGCGCCAGGCTCAGTGGTGACAGGACCCCCGAGCCCTTGGCTCAGCTCTCTTCCCTGTGGGGTTCCTGCCGTGTCTCACAGACAGACGGCCAAGGCCAGACAGACCGCCATCACCCCAAACAGACACAGACCCTTGCAGCTGTACATGCTAGGGAGACAAGCCCACAGGCTCACAAAAGCAGGCACAACACAGACAGAGACTCGTGAGTGACAGAGGCAACACCCACGTCAATACACAGGCTCCCTGCAGGTAGACAGGTGAGTGGAGAGACAGCAGACTGGAGACAGACAGACACACATGTAGGTGACCGCACGGTCACCCCACACCCACCCACATGCACGCACAGCCACTCATGCAGAGAGTCACACAGGGCCTGAGATGAGCCCTGCCGGCAGGCTCCCACTGGCGAGCCCCCACCCCAGGGCACACAAACCAGCAGTGGGCACTCGGCAAGGAGCTCTTCTGAGGGCAGCCTCCATCTTGTCCTGAGGGCATGAAGGCTCCAGTACCGGCAGGCCCCCCCCTGCAGGAGGATGAAAGGGTGTTAGATATGAAAAGGGACTTCCTGGCCAGGAGGTGTTGAGACCTGTGGTGGATGACTAAGGGTGCTGGGGTGGGAGGCAAGGACAGCGCTGGTGGCAGGCGGGGGTCTGCAGGGCCTGTCTCGTGGGGCAAACCTGCTTTTCTGGCCTCAGTTTCCCCTTAGGCACTGCAACCCCAGATCCCTGCAGGGAGTAGAGGGCCCAGCTCTAGGGTATGCATTAGTGCCAATCAGGGGCTCCCGGACACTGCTCCCCCACACAAAAGCCCCCTCCACCAGGGCAGGACCCCTCGGTGACTCACCACCCAGTGTCCCCGGGCAGGGGGTAAGCCAGTCACAGATGCCCGTTGTTTCAGCCCTTCCCTTCCCCCAAAGGCTGATGATGACGCTGGACTGAGAGGGAGTGCAGAAAAGTGAGGGGAGGGAAAGGGAATCCCCACAGGCATGCCCCCCAGGGGTGCACAGGAGGCTCAGGCCTGAGGATGGGGCATCCATCCAGGTGTTGTCTCTTTCATCTTCCTGCTGTTAGAGTGCCCTGGCCTTTACCCAAGCTGTTGGTTGCTCAAGGGAAGGTAAAAGGTGACAGAGGCCGGCGGGACAGAAGTCCCATTGTTTGGGGCCCAGACCCTGGCAGGGGAGAGGAAGGGCTTATGCTTAGGGCAGGAAGGGGGCTCTCAGGGGGCGCCAGCTGGCACGACTCTTGCCTTTGGGCCTGGAGGGAGACAGGTGCCAAGCAGGATGCCCTGGGGTTGGTGGGGGGTGCTGTCAAAAGTGCCTGGCAGCCTCAGACGGGGGTCAGGGAGCAGGAAGGCCCGCACCACACCCACCCCACTCTGGAGCTCCGCAGCCTAGGAGTCTGCAGGGTCCTAAACCACCCTGCTGGGATTTGCAACATTCCTGGGAAAGAAGAGACCTGAGTGGGGGCAGCCTGGGAGGACCCAAAGGATGGGTGTGGCCGGACGCTTTTATTCCTGAGGGATCAAAGGGGGCTTAGAGACTCTCCCCTCCCACAGCCTTCCCATCCTTTCCAAGATGTGGGGCCAACTGGGAGCTCCACCACCCCGCTGTCTCTTCTCCGCCGGAGCCCTCGGTCCCACGCGAGGCCGCGGGAAGTCCTTACGGTGTCAGACCACAGTCCTTTCTGTTTTGGGTAGACTTCAGCCCG